AGACTATATAAACACCTGTCTGAATAGAACCATCAACCCATAAGAAATAGTTTAAGCTTCCTGCTCTTTATGTTGTTTTAGAAAATAACAATGAAATATATTAACGTACTCTATAACAACACTCAAGTTTATATTCAGCACTTGCTTCTTTAAGAAGTGGTATTAAATCGTTTCCCCCCACCTTCCCCAGCCTTTGAAGACAACTTGGCATTTTATTACAGGTTAGTTCCAAATCCTGAAAAACATTTAAATTATTGTGAATCATTCTTCCTACTGTATTCCATTACAGAGCTATAAAAAAGTCAATAGCCAAGGCAGTTTGAGCATTACATCAGGGAATTGATCTTTACCTCACATACCTTGTGATAGCATGCTCAATGCCCAGGAAGGAGCAGAATGTCAAAATTGACACATATCACTACTTCAGTCAGAAATCCTGTTAACACTACCTTCTCCAAAATCATTTCAGGCAGATAAAGTGAAATGACTACAGATACATTTTTTTTAATCTCTTTTCAAACTTATATGGAAATAGAATGCTCTTCCAAGAGCCATCACAGACTTCACTCTGTTGAGTGAATAAAGATTTTTTGGCTCAAATTTTTTTGCAAACTTTCTAACTCTGGTGAGCACTTTCCCCTAAAGAACCAAGTGCCTGTGAAAACAGTGTCAACTGTTCAACAGTTTCACTGTTGCCTAGAGAGGAGGTAAGGAATGTGCTGTGGTGTTGAGCACTGTCATGGCCATTTAACTTGTGTGATATTACCAGGAGGAAAGACGGAGCACTGCAGTGCATTGAACCCCAGACGCAGTCAACAGGAAGAAGCACCGTTCCTTCATGTACGACTAACAAAGAAAAACACTGCCAATTAAATTATGACACACCGTCGATTGTGGAGCACACTTTGATTTCAGAGATGTGAAAATGTGGAAAAGTGTGCACCTGAGAACCAGTGAGCTGTGGGGTTTAAAGAGTACTCTTCATTTCATCCAATACTAAGCCTTAGAGTGAACAAAATGCTAGCTTTGATTTTGGTCTTCCTTTGGACAGCCTGTG